CCGTATCACACCTACTATCCAGGCTTTCATCTCGAGGTAACCCTACTATCCAGGTTCCTTCTTACAACCCTACTATCCAGGCTTTCATATCGAAGTAACCCTACTATCCAGGTTCCTTCTCGCAGCCCTACTATCCAGGATTCCATATCGAAGTAACCCTACTATCCAGGTTCCTTCTCACAGCCCTACTATCCAGGTTTTCATATCAAAGTAACCCTACTATCCAGGTTCCTTCTCACAACCCTACTATCCATGCTTTCATATCGAAGTAACCCTACTACCCAGGTTCCTTCTCACAAAACCTTACTATCCATGTTCCTCCTCTCTTATCCCCAAACAGTGATCCACAACACTGTAAGACCAGGACCCGATCAAACATGATTGGTTTCGCATTTCCCCAGTAAATCGTAGTGCAGCATATACCCCGACCAGATACGCAGTACACTTTCGCTTCCTCAAGCAGGAGTTATTCCCCAGTATAGTAACGAACAACTGAAGCTCCTAAAATATAGTTCTCCCATGACAGGAAATCAACATCCCCTAGATGGCATCTTTAAGCCCATCTCATGCAATTCTCTGCCGCATCCAGGATGGCATCTTTAAGCCCATCTCTTACAATCTTCAATCTTCGACCTCTAAATGGCATCTGTAAGCCCATTCTCGATATTATAAATCATAAGAAGTTTGTGTGCAGAAGAGAAGAGTGATTGGAGCTTCAGAGGATGTTGCAAAGAGGGTTTGTTGAAGCTTCAGAGAGATAGAAGGGTGAAGAGAGCTTGCAGTTTTTATGAGTTTTAGTTGTGATTCTTCTGAAGTGATTGAAGAATGGACCGTGAATGAAGAGAAAGTTTGTTATATAGTTGGAAAAGTTATGAGATTTTGTTACAGATGAAGGAGCCTTGGCATTTGGATCGAATCCTGTTTGAATGGTGAGGATTATCTTGTTATGAAGCTGTGAAATTCTGTTATTGTTGAGTTGGATTTTGTTGTGAGTTAATTTCTCACGATTTTCTTCCTGATGTAATAACTTTTTCTTCTGCTTTTTATTGTTTTGGTTGTGATGTTGTATAAGAGTTGGTCTATCCTTGCTCACGTACTCCAATAATACTTGCAAGCAAAATTCTATGACATCAACATCAGAAAACCAGAATTAAATGGATTATTCTTGTGACTTTCTTTGTAACTTTTGGTGTCGCACTTTTGTAATGACTTTAAGTTGAATGAACTTGTAATTCTTGAATGACCTTGAACACTTGAACTTCGAAATTTGGATGATGAATAATGAACTTATGGAAATTTGAACCATGATAGATGACGATGAATTAAGTAAATTTGAGAGAGCTTTGGATTTGAATTTGAATCATTATCAAAAGGAATGAATAAAGCTTGCATAAAACTTGAATGAATCTTGAATCTGTGAAATACCACATGAATCTTTCAATCTTGCTTGAATCAAATTCTTGAACAACACCAATTCTTAATGTCTTTAATTCATGTTGATTATCTCTGAACTCAAATCTACTTCAAATCTCAACGAACAAATTCTAATTAACTTGCATTATCAATGGACCCCTAACTCAATTCAATTCCCCAATCCAAACCAAACTTGTGTGTCAAACAACAAGTATTGAAATAATGATGTCTTGAGCATAATAAACCTTCAAACTCAACACTTTATGGCTCACACTTTATATCTCAACCAAACAGAATCTTGAGAAAGAAAAGCGGTGCATCTTTGAGAAAATCATGTGATGAAAGCCAACCCTATTCTTATGATCTTTGATTAATGCACATGCTCACACATAATGAATGAAACCCTAATCTTCCAATAAATACATAGAAATAAACTCTAATTCAAGAGCTTGGTGAATTTTGGAGAAGAAAAACTTTGTTGCTTGAAGAGAAAGAAGTTCATGATAACTATAAATCAGAACCCTAATTCCACACATCACTGCTTGAAATAGAACCAGAAGAATCAGAAGAAATCCACCTTTATTTGATATGTACAAACCTCAACCACTCTAAAACCTTAGTATTGTTGATCTTTTGAACCTCAGGTGCCTTATTGACTGAAAGAATGATATGCAAATGACCTAATGAAAATGTGCAGATGAAATGCAAAGCCTAAGCCAGATAAAAGAAAAATTATGAGGGAAAATTTTGGGGTGAAACAATATGAATGTGCATACAAGTCTTTCAATAACCATAGTTTTCACCGGCGAATACATGAGCTCTATTATACTCCTCTTTAGGTGCGTTTTCCATTTCCTAAAAAGTGTATTGGAAGCACACAAAATGAACTAGGCTCTTAATACCCAACTCAAAATTTAGTTTTAAAATAGTTTTTAAATCGAATACTTAATGTGCACTTTGATTTTCCAAAATTTTCTTTGAATTTTGTTGATGCTAAAACCTCATATAATAAAAGGGATTGTAAGAACAACAACAAAATTATTTAAATTTTCGAAGAATATTTCTAACCTAATCAATTTGCACAATAAAAAATGTAATAAATTGCTAAAAAAATATAAAAGACATAAAGAGAGAGATAGATAGAGAGACAGAGAGAGAGAGACAGAGAGACAGAGAGAGAACGATACAAGGATTTGTTAAGGAAGACACCAATCGTCCTCGCTATGGCTACGTCTCCCTCCAATTCTATTTTGGAATTGGGATAAATTTCTTACTATTTGCAAAAGTATCTTTACAAGAGAAATGTTTCAATGCACCCCTACAACACCTATGGTTGATGATGATCCAACAAAATTCCCCTTGGCTTAATGGAGTTAGATCAAGCCCTCAGCAACTCTAATTGATCCACCTTCTCGCGCTACTAAATTGAAGGAAAATGTTCTTCAATGTTCACTCGGACGAATCCAATTGCAAGCTTATTGTCACCCAAGATTACCGATGATTCACCGTCTCATGCTACTAGGCTTGCAGGAATCACCTTGTTCTTCAAGGTCTTCACTCGGTCGAATCCAATATCGGCATAATCTTGCTAAAAACCCTCAAATCTCCACATGATCTTGAGGTAAAAATTCTCGTGGTTTTTCCGGATGAAACCCCTTGATTCTCAATCCAATCTTAGGATACACTAAACCTAAATTGAACGTTATTAACCGAGTATAGATGGGACCCAAACAATGAATGATAATGTGTATGTTGTTTGTGTGTATGCTTAGGGTCAAGGTTGAAGATGAAGATCAATCAAGTAAGTGTTTATAGTTTCACTAAAAAGAAAATGGTGCATGTATGATATATATATATATATATATATATATATATATATATATATATATATATATATATATATATATATATATATGTGTGTGTGTGTGTGTGTGTGTGTGTGTGTGTGTGTGTGTGTGTGTGTGTGTGTGTGTGTGTGTGTGTGTGTGTGTGTGTGTGTGTGTGAGAGAGAGAGAGAGAGAGAGAGACTTGGAGGAAAAAGAAAGACCTAGAAACACAAAATAAAACTGATTTTTGAAGTTTGGTACAGGATGTGTCAACACATGTAAGTTATGTGTCGACACATGCATGACATAACTTGGCACATGTGTCGAATTGTAGTAGGCTATGAGTCGACACGTACTTCTAGAGATTTCCAGGCTTTAAAAGAACAATACATGAGTCAACACGAAGCTTGTATGTGTCGACACATAGATTAGTTTAAAGGCATGTGTCGACACGAACAAGAGAATGAGTCGACATGTACTTACAAAGATTTATATGCTTTAAAGCAACAACACATGTGCCGACACGAAACACGTATGTATAGACACATGCACATGAATTTTATGAAAAAATTGATTTTTCTTTTATGAGACCAATAGATAACTAAACCAAACTTGTTCTATATGTTTCTTAAGGTTCCTAATGACTTCTAATTCAAAGGTACATATAAATACTCAGAGATATCGTTCAATATACAGAAAAGCTAAATCACTTCCTAGTTTTAACATCATGAAAAACATCTATAAGAGAAATGCATCCACATTATCTTCATCAACCTAAATCCCTTATTAAACTACAACAAATCCTAGTAAAAGTAACTAGTTGGTGGGACTAGATCCCAGAGGATATGGCCAACCTAGAACAATTTTCCCCTAGTCCTTACGCTTAAGGAATATGGGTAAGAGTTTGAAGGATTCCTATACATTGTTTATGAGACATATTTTATTTGCTTCAACTACCATGTAGCTTCAAATGTCTTTTGAGGAGTGATTATGATCTTCCTAGGGAACTGAAATACTCAAGTATCACATGCAAGAGAAGTGATTGTTTGATAAGACATTTTTGTTTCGTAAGGATAGTTCATAAATGTATGGAGAACTAAAGTCACCTTTTTATTCCAAGTCTTTCTTTCCCCTTATTTCTGAAAGGTTCGTCTCTTCTTCTCTTATGAAGTGTTTCTTTATTTTTCTTGAATTTGCTTGCGTGATATGGCGAAGAGGTCCAAGAAAACCGTGAAAAGGAATCCAGTGAACTCATCCTCCCAAGGGAAGGTTCCACGTATTCTTCGACACAAGAATTTGCTATCATTTCAGAACAATAGTAGTTAAGCCAGTCGCTGACAAGTTGCATGTGCTCATTGAGATCCCCCTTCCCGTTGTATTCCTCCAATTTGGGAGGTTTTTACATTGATTTAGGGATTTTTATCTCCTAGATCTGAGCACATAAGCAATGCTTAGGTTGTGCTCGATTTAGTTGACATTCGTTACGGTTAGGGGAGGGAGCGTAAATCCCTCGGTCTCCTCCCGGACTCCTAGGGGGAGAATTACGTTTTCCGCCTTTGGAGTGTTCTTTCAATTTTTGGACTTTTCTTTATTCTTTCATTGCAGACAATTCTGGTCATTCAGACTTATTTCTTCTTGAATCGACTTCTAAGATTGTATTTTCCCGGGGTTGAACGCATTGGAGGCTTTCCTCCAAATGAAGAAACCTTTCTTCCACCACCTTGGAGTTTTGATGTTGAATGATGTTGTAAATGTCGTTGATTAACTCATCCGTGCCTTGAGATCCAAGGTTTGCTTCAAGAATGCCAAAATCTCATGAGTTCTCAGGTTATTCCATAGGAATTGGAGATGGAATCTGAAGCAATGGTGTCTGGATTGTTCTTGCCCGTAGAAGAGGGAGAATACAATTTGGTCGTTGAAGAGTGTTGGTATTGAGGTTTGCTCGCCAATTGAAGGAGTAATGTTCGGTCGATTGATGGTTGATAGTGTCATACCAGCGGCTGCCAAAACGACTTCATATATCATGGCGAAACAAGTGGTTCTCGATCCGGCCATTTCTGCGACTCGACGGACTTTAGAAGCACTGAAAATGAAGATATGGAGAATTTGTGTATCTTTATCAGTGTTGAACTCGATTTGGTCGGATGCAACATAATTGTCTTTGATTTGTTGAATTCTTTGGTTCAAAGTCGATAAGAGTCCCAAGCTAGAGGAGCATACTAAGAGATAGGGAATCATAACGTATACAGGAATCAAGTGTCGTTCCCACATACGACGTCACTTTTCTGTTCCAGAACCAGAAATATATAGAGTCACAGAAGCTACGACGAAGGAGAGCTTCCGATGCGACGGAGCAGAGGGCGTGCCTGTAAGGTTAGCACTCCAACGCTCAAGTCAATATCTGAATGATGAAAAAGTATTCAAATTGTGTTTGAAACTTGTTACCTGAAATGGCGCCATCTGCATAAATAGTGGAACAAAATAATTAACTTGCTAATTGTCTGGCGTTATACGGAGGACCGTTGGATGTCTTGAGGGATGAATCTTCTGCTTCTATAATACTAAAGGTTCGGTAGTAAAGAGAATGTTCCTGAAGCTTTAATATATACTTGAGCTAGATCTGGGATGTTTCGCTTTATGGTGATCGGCTCAGAAAAGAAACATGCCATAATCAAATCAATATGGGGAGCTCTTTTCTTATGGTAGTTAGATATCTGAAAATGGGGCCGAATCACAGATGATATGTCCGGTCCATAACACTTTTTATATAAATTATTTATATAGATAACGTATATGAATTATTATTTTTCTAATATTATTATTTATTAATAGAATTTAATTGAAATGCACTGACAATATAAAAAGATTTTATACTGTCAATTAATCATAGACGTGAAATATTGAAAGAAATTTAACTTTTATTTTAACCACTTATAAAATAATGCAAACAGATGATGGTGATGAATTGAACGTGTATACTAATTAATTTCTTATTAATAATATATAAAATATAGAATTAAATAAGTTTAAAGTCTCTGTAAAGTTAGGTATTTTTATTTTTCGTTCCTCTAAAAAATTTCGTTAAAGAATAATTTCTCTAAAGTTAAAAATCATAACTTTTAATCCCTTATACTAAAATTATTGCTGAGTTGTAAACCATCATGAGTTGTAAACCATCAGTAAAAACCGTCGTTAAATTGTAAAAATTATCGCTAAATTATACAAGAGACTAAAAGTTAAACTTTCAACTTTTAGACGGACGATTCTTTAACAAATTTTTTTAGAAGAACGAAAAATAAAAATACCTAGACTTTGAATATATTTATCCCTAAAATATAAATAAATGAATATATTGGTAAAGTAATTATTGTTATGAAATATAACTAGTAGTATTGAGTAAGTAGGAGTAATAAGAAGTAAATATAAATATAAAATAGTTAAAATAAATAAATAGAAAACATTAATTAATTTACTATTATACATGATGGTTCGCTTTTGTGTTTTTTTCTTTTTCTTTTCTTTTTTAAGGTTCTCGTAAACAATTGTATTTTTAATATTATTCTTTAAGATAATTTGTTGAATTGATTTTAATGAGTGTCACAAGCTGGCACATAAACATTATTACAACACCAAACAAGCAAAACTAGAAATGAAACATAACTATGACACCAATCTTATAATTAAACAAACCAATGTTAATTTGACTAAAAGATGCATCCCATGATACAAACAATGTTTTATTCAAATATCTCAAAGGAAGGCTGCTTCAATTCATCTATCACTTCTGAGGCTGCAAATAAAAATGAACAAGTTTCAACCAAGTAGCAAAGAGTGAACTCAGAACCCAATTACAAACTTCAAAATCAATAGCGAGAGATTCATATCGAACTTAATACCATAAAACGTTTCTTGACAATATCAACGATATCTTGAGGATCCTCTCTTGTCTGTGTATAAGCATCAATCTTGTTCAACTCCTACAAAAGTAAACATAGGAGTACTAAAATGATGAGTACATATAGATGAAAGCAAAGTAGTACAGTACAATTCTCATAATCAGAGAAAGAAATTCTACACAAGTGGTCCTTTATTCGAGTTTACCTCAATCCATTTTGTAAGTTTAGGTTTTCCTTCTGTGGCGTCGTGCTTGAACACCTCAAGCAGGACAACATGGAATCTTTCAACAAAAGGAATGTAGGCAATATCCACCTGATCAACAAACACATTCAAAACTTATATGAAAGGAAAGTTAAAGCCAGTTCCAAGATCAGTGATTTGATTTAAACTCACCAAACTGAATTGACCAAGCAAGAATGGTCCATCATCAAATTTACCAAGAGCATTCTCCAAGAATTCAAAAGCAGGATCTGATTCATGATAACCAATTTAAAAGTGTATTTTATATTTAGAAGAAAAAATATACTTTTTGCCATTTATAAACATCTTACGGGATTGTTGCACAGTATCCCCTCTTAATGCATTGAAAAAGTCTTCGACAAAGATATCAACCTCGGATAACAACTGTTCGCCGAACTCTTTCTTGGCAGGATCCTGTTAAAATTTACACTAAAAATTAGTTTTAATACACAAAGAGGGTTTTTTAAGCATGAGCTGGGGCACAACATGAAGGTAAAGTTTCAGACGTTTCTACTCCCGCAACACGATCACAATTGACCATGGCCTCATCAGCCTTAATTGACCTCACAATATCAATGATCACAATATAAATTGGATTTAACATTTTTTGTCTAACACCATTAGTTCATTCTAAGTTCTAACTATTAAGGTCATACTTGGATAAACAATTTAATTAAGAACTTATAACACAGGTATATAATCGTTTATGCATAAGCAATTTCGTAACAAACAGTAAAATCGAGTCAAACTACTATAAATCATAAATTTTACAAACAGTCTCACTAGTGCTAGTAAGGTCAGATAAACTCAGATAAGTATCTAAACATATTCTCAAAAGAGATGAGAGACCATGATGACTTACATTGGGAAAGAGAGGTGTTCCTTCAAAGTTAGCATCAATATATTTGATCAAATCAAGACTTTCTCCCAATATCTTGCCATTGTGCTCCAAAGAAGGCACCTATTAATATCAAATCAAGTGTCACCACCATTGCAACACAACATATCATCCAATATATAGGATCGTCTTTGAAGGTATAATAAGGCGGGCTACTGCACATGGCTCTCGACCCACAAGTCGTGAAGGTTAAACCATTGATAAATAAGATCTCATAAAATATTTGTCACATTAAACCCTAGTATAATTAAACTTGTGATTAATCTACACACGACCTCCGAAAACTTGACACGGCTCGCGAGTATAATAATTAAGTTATGATAACAAAAAAAACAAACCTTATTTTCAGGATAAACTTTTTCCTTATACCATGCAGGTCTATTTTGAAGATCAAAAGGAACTAATTGGATCTTGTCTTGTAGCCCCTACATAGTTCAATTTTAACAAAACACAATAAAAAAATCAAAAGAAATAGGCACATTATATACATGTAGAACTCAAATAAACAAATATTGAAAGAACCTTATAGTTCCTAGCGATCCATACACGTTGTGCAAAGGGACAAACATAACTGGTGTACAACCTAAAAAATAATAAATTAGATCACGTGCATGCGAAATTTGGAAGAAAAAAAAACATGAGATGGGTGAAATTAGGAGAAGGAGAAAGAACCTGGTGGTTCCGTCAAAAAGTGTAGGTTGTTCGGAAGTTGGAGATAACAGTGGAGGACGAATCGGTTGCACTCCTCTGATAGAAGAAGAAAAGCATTAGAGATAAGATACTATGTATTATTCAGTGTTGAATAAAAAAGTAACAGAAAATATTAAGAAATTAATCAAGAGTTTTTCATACATAGTAGTGGCCATTGATTTGAAAATGTTGTTCACCGAGTTTTTAGTGTAATGGTTAGAAAAGTAGCAATATGAATGGAATGAAGTCTAGATTCATACAAAAGTGAGGTAGCCTAGTATTTATGCACGTTGTGAATAGAGCACCGTCCGTTGTGATGTCAGCGATGACGTCGTTTTTCTTTGGGATGAGTTGTCATGTACTAAATGTTTCCTCTAGGAGGACAGGAAACTCTTGACTTTTTCAACTTTTTCTTTTTCACCCTTCTTAAAATTCAAAAATTTTCCTGTTAAAATAAAGTAGATTAACAATTTCTTTATAAAAATATCTATCTTAACAAATTTTTAAAAACAAATTATTCTGTTTTATCTATATGTTAATTACTATATTATAAGAAAAATTTATTTTATGAATCTATATGTTAATTATTCAACTAATATAAAAAATATTTATTTATTATAATAAAGAAGGGAGTATATTTTTAAAATATTGTAGATCGTCTTAGGGGTGGCAAACGGGCATGTCCATCCCGTATAAGCCTGCTCCGTAAAAAACGGGGCGGGACGGGTGGATATTGTTGAGGATGTGAGCCTAAAATATATTTCTGCCTTGTAAAAATGTAAGCGTGGGTCGGGGAAACCCGCGGGCACTGCACCTGTTAGTCTAAAATATAAAAATTTATGTAAATGCATGTGTCCGCAAAAGTCTGCGTAGAAAACGGAACGGACACATTAGAGGGTCAGGGTCTAACCATTTGGTCGGCCCTGCACTAAAGTGCGGATAAAACAGACATGTCCAACGGGCCGGACCTATTTTGCCACCTCTAGTCTTAACCACTTTGATCATATAGACATTCTTATTAAGAAATTATGGATTGTGGAGATTGTGGAATGTTCAATAGTATTAAACAACCTCGACTCATTCATTTATGAACACATGAGAGGTATGAGAGAAACTTAAATAACAATCAACGAGGTTAAACACAGTCTTGCACATGGGAAACATTGTCAACTTCTATAGACTCTTGGGAGATGAGTTATTCACCGCACTCCCTAATGGAGAGGGTCCTATGAGTCAAGGTTGAGGAAATGACCCCCAAGACTCGGCATGCTCCTCTAAGTCATAAAGGACTACATATACATATTTAAACTAACAAGTTTCATCACATTCTTTAAAAATCATCCATATGTGGTATTTTGTTTGACTTATCTCAGGTAGAGCTTGTACTAGTGTACTCATAACAAGTGTATTTGACTTTAATTATAGGGTTCCGGCAAATCATTCATGGGACACACCTTTTCAAGAGTTTTGTTGACGTAGTCGTTGTTTCACAATGGTAGTCGCATATGTTGCATCCAATTATGGGGATCATGAAGCTATAGCAAAATTTTTGATCACTATGGATGAACTTCATTACTAGAAAATCAAAACTTGCAAGCAATTGTCCAAACCATGCAAAAACAACAACGACTGGAAATTCTATTCTAAGAGGGTATATAGGTTGAAGAGCCTCATTCTCCCTCTGCCTAAATATGGGAAGCACTTATCCCATATATTTCATGTCGCCTCATATGGTGACATTTGATGGGAATTGTGACCCTCAGAAGCATGTCACAACATGTTCAATACACAAATGTCAATCATAGGCACATCAAATTCACTCAAATACAATCTCCTCTCAAAAATCATAAAGTATGTGGTCTTACGTTGGTATATGAATCTTCTCATATTCTAATTAACCACTTACCAAGATCTATCCCAAAAACTAATCCATAAGTTTTTAGGCCACCAAACACGATAAGATATCCACTACAAGCCTTTTCAATGCACGTCAAGGAAACTTAGAGTCATTGTGATAGACATCATATACCCTGAAAGTTCTTTACATGTCCTTTACTAGGATACTGTAATACGGTGGGAGAACTGGCTTAGGTTTTGATTTTTATCGCAAATGTTGCGGATAGCAAGAGTCGTCACCGACTTTTCTTTTATCCAATAAAGGAAAGGGTGAAAAGAACAGGAAAGACCTTTTGATATTTTTCTAGGTAAGGGGGGTAGGTTATGAAAATGGAAGGTGTTAGCACCCTTTTCATCTGTAGTTTTCTACGGGCTCTTAATTATTTGATTACATTTTGAAATGCTTTGTTTTTGTGTACGTTTGAAAATACCTAAGTGCGACAATTTTGTAATGATTCTCGCATCGTTGATAATATATACAAAATGTTTATTTTCAAAGATATTTTGGGAGAAAATGTTGTTTTGTGGAAATATGTTTGAAAATGCCAATGTAAGGCAATTTGCTTTATAATAACCCTTGTATCAGTCCTCAAGAGTGCTTATAAAGTGTTTTGAAAGTGTAAGGTGTGAAAAATTGTTTTAGTTTGTGAGCAAGCGATTACGAGCGATCTATCTACTCAAAAAGGTCTTAATTCTTTTCCTCCTCCTTTAGATAGTGTTATTCCACCATTAGTTAGTAGGAAGTCCTAACATTAGATGTGAGGGACATGTGTGGGTCATCGTATAGTCATAGAAGGCAACTTGTAGGACACTTTAGCAATTTTCGTAAGGGACTAAGATCGTTTATCGAAGGCATCATCGAAGGGTCATCGAGGGACTACGATCTTTTAATCGAGGGTCTTTGCTAAAACATCCCACGTTCGAGGGATATGACTGTTTTATCCGAAGGCAACAAGAGAGGTTATCCTAGAGGTGCAAGTGTGCAAAGTATGTTTGATTCAATTATTTTATCTTGAACTAGGGTTTTGCTATGATTGATTTTAATCTTGTCATACAAACCCTAATTACTAACAGAAACATGGAAAACGATAAATTACAGAAATTAAATATCCTACGTTATTACAATGCTTTGGGAATGGAGAATACAAATTTGTGAATGGGGAGGAAAGCAATAAACCCTAATTATCTATTACAGACCATTTACATAAATGATAATGCAAAATAATAAAATACACAAAAATATGAAGTAGAGAAAAAGGAAAAAGAAATTGTTTTTGGTGATTTTTTGATAGAAAATAAAGTTTGATCATTAACCTAAGAAAACTAATTAGTTTTAATTAAAAGAGAAGTTAACTAATTATTTTAAACAAAACCTAAAAAATCTAAGTTAATTGAAATTAAGGAAATTAAAATAAAACCTAAGTCTAATGATTTTTAATTGTTTAGAAAATAATTTGGATGTTAATGTCAATTTGAAAAATATTTTATAGTGTAAAATAAATAATAAAATCTAATTCTAATAATTTAATTAACAAAATAAAATAAAGTGATTAAATTAATTAAATAAAACCTAAAACTAATTCTTTTGTGATTTTATGATTTAAATATAATTAACTAAAAAAGAAAAGCAAACAATTAAATTAGAAAAGATAAAAAAAAGAAATTAAATGGACCAGTATTTGTAAAGCAGACAAGGGGGTGTGAAAAATCATTTTTATTAGGCCCAAAACAAGCCTTTTTTGAATCAGAGAAATAAAAAAAGGTAATGGGCATGCGTTAGAAAAAGGAAAAGGGGGGGGGGGGGTGAAAAGAAAAAATAAAAATGATACAGGCCCAAAACAGAGGGCCCAGGTGCTTGTAATGTTCAGTGTGGTTGGCTCCAAGGGAGTTCACCAAGGGCTTGCTTTCTGGAGGGCTGGATATGGCCTTGTGATGATCAGAGGGTGATGGAGAGATGCGTATGGTGCGCGTGTAGGACTAACCTGCACATGATCTAAGACAACAAAATATGAACTAAACAAAAGGGTACCACTGGGGCTCGAACCCGGGTCCCTATAGGTATACTCGCGCTTCCTTTATCACTGGGGTGGCTGTTTCATCCGGTTATGAAACGCCCCCAGTAAATATATTGTAATCCTGTTTTCAAAAATAAAATTTCCCACTGCATCTTCCTCGCACCAGCAACAACAACAACCATATTTTTGAATTTCTGAAAATGCTCATTTCTCAACCAAATAAAAAGATGTAAACATCAAACTTGCTGGAAATTTAACCACGAATCCAACCATATAAATTTCAAAAGATATAGATCAAAGGTTGAAACAAATTTTGTTTGGTACCAAACTGAAACCTAATATTTCAGAAATTTCAGCTCCAAAATTTTCATCACACAGTCAATAAAAATGAAAACTAAAGTCATGGTTAGCTTCATAGGCATGATATCTACATTTTATCTTTTAAAAGCAGGTGAAAATGATGCTTAAATAAGGATTTCAAAGTCGGAAGACTTACCTCTTGAAGTGAAATCTCAGAATGCGTATGGATGCTTCCAGGTGCAAAGTGATGATTGATTAAGCTTCCTTGGACCTCCCTGAAGCTGTTCCAATCCTTACTTTATGCTGAAAGTTGTTGAATCACTCCAACCAAGTCAAGATGCAAGGCTCTGTTTTTGAAAATGGAGGATGATGAAGATGATGTTACAGTGATGAAACAGGACTTTGGATAGGTTCTATATGAGTTATAGAGGATTTGTGAATTCTTTAGAATGAAAACGCACGAGTGGATTGGGTATTTGGAGTTCAAGGTCAGAAATTGCAACAAATGTAGTTTTGGATGCAAATTATGATTTCAGAGAGCATGAGGGTGTTTTAAGGCTTCCGAACTCATGTCCTAGCTTGCAAATGGATCTCTCTATTTATAGAAAAAGGTTGGAGGGAAGGAGCTGATAAGATTGTCAAGTTGAAGAGTTATGGTTTGGTTGAAGCATAACTTGTGATTTCTTGAGAAATCAAAGTTCCAATGTATGGTACCATAGCTAATTATCTTCATATAATTATCCTTATATAATTATCGTCATGTCCCTAAAATCTCTACACGTCTAATTATTATATTTTATTAATAAAGCACATAAAAGTTATTTTTTAATAAATCTAAATAATTTCTAACTCTCACTAATATTCTAGCTAACAACATCATAATAAATTATATAATAATCATAAATAAATATAAAAGCACCAAATTCTAGATTTGGGGTATTACAAATTCAACTTAACAACCTTAG